CCTAAATTGTCCATCGAGGGATGACTGGATAAGGAAATTGTGGTATATATACATCATGGAATACTACTCTGCCATAAAAAAGAATGAAATACTCCCACTTGCAACAACATGGATAAGCCTGGAGAAACGTATGTTTAGTGAAACAAGCAAAGCACAGAAGGATAAATACCACATGTACTCACTCATATGTGGGAGCTAAGAGAGAAAGAAGGAAGAAGGAAAGACCACAGTAGCGTGTTGGACTTGCAGAAGGAGAGGTCATTCCTTGGGCTACAAAGTGGAGTGGGAAGGAAGGGGGGAGGAAGATGGATATTGGGGATAATTGGGTGGGGGATATGGGATACAAATGCAATTTGGGGTAATGGATATGCTGGCAGTATGAATCTGGCCCTCACAACATGGGCACGAGGGGTGACAATCAGCTTTGTATGTCATGAGTATTTATAACCAATAAAAAAAGAAAATTAAAAAATAACACCATTCTGTGTAGCAGACATAAGTGGATGTCTGTTGATGAAAAAATTCTCATCTTACTGAAGACTAAAAGTCAGACTTTGTTTTCAAAGTCATGACCCACAAGGAAGAAAGATTTGAGAGAGAGAGAGGGAGGGAGGGAGGGAGGGGGGGAAGAGAGAGAGAGAGAGAGAGAGAGAGAGAGAGAGAGAGAGAGAGAGAGAGAAGGAACAGTACTTGTCAATAGCTCATGTTGTTTGGATCCCAGCTCTGCTACCCACCCAATTTGCCTGCAATGAATCAATGAAATGATTTGTATAGTTGAAGTAACTGCTCTTGACACAATTTACAGAGTTTACTCACAGAAGTCTCTTTTATTAAAGCAAAAGATATGAAAATCATGTCTTAGTGTAAATGGGACTATGATGGACAAGTGAATTTTCCACATTTGTCTGTGATGAATAATTGAAGCTTGGTTTAGCAGACAATCTGTTAACACCTCTTTATGAAGTCCTCTATCTGCTCTTCCCAACGTCTGACAAGCCTTTAGAGTGACTGCTGGCATCCACAATTCCACTCACTAATGAATGTGTATAATGGGATAAGGGGGGTGTTTTAATAAAGGGACAACACTAAAACATAGTTTGGATCCATTCTCTCAAAGCTACTACATTAACAAAATTTGCTTTTTTGTTCATTTTTAGAGCTTTGCCTTCCATGCCTATCTGACATCATTTAGCACAACACGAAGCATGGAAAGTGACTGGTTGGCAAGTTCATAAACAGCAGTTAAGTCTTGTGAAGAGCTGCGGGTAACTGAGAGACGCAATAATAGCTACACAGGTAAAAAGAATCATGGGTAGACAATGGTAAAGTCTTTCTTCACCTTAATTTCTTTCATTAAAAAAACTTACACGCATGCACACGCACTCATGCATGCTTGAACACATACAGCTCCTGACTTAAGAAATAGTATGTTTTCAGTAAATTTGGAAACCCTGTGTATACTTCTTCAATGGCATCTCCAAACCTCAACCCCAGTGGTAACCACCATCTGATTTATGTGTTTACCATTCTCTAAATTTTCTTTAGAGTTTTACTACTTATATTTTTATTCCTAAATAACGTACTGCTTAGTTTTGCATTTTTTGAGCCTTATATAAATGATATATATTCTCTAATGATTTGATATTTTTCTCTCAAAATGAGTGTTGTGTTTAACCTACGAATATGGTTGTAGTTCACTTATTTTCTATGTTCCATAGGAATTCACGGTGTGAAAATTTCACCATTTATGCAAATGGAACATCTGTGATATTTCCACTTTTTATGTGATGGTAAACAACACTGCTATAAACATTCTTCTACGTGTCTACTTGTACACATGTGTAACAGTTTCCCCAGGGATGGAATTGCAGTTTTAGGATATGCATGTCTTTAACAACACAGGTATTTTTCAAATCGTTATTTACACTTCCACTGGCAAAGTATAAAAGTTCCTGATACTCCGCATTTTGTCAACACTTGGGATGCTCAAAAATGGTCATTCACACAGAAAATAAACGCTGGTTCACTGACCACAGATATTCACTCCAGAATTATATAATGCTTCTAAGAGTCAGAGCTTTAGCTATAGTTACTTAAAATGAACTTGCTTCATCCAAAGGCTAGGAAAAGACAGTGTTTGTATGCATAAGATGGCAAGCAAAGGTTTTAAAAAATAATTCTGCTTATGTTTACAAATTAATCTTCCATTTTTCTGGTAAGAAAATTCCACATAATGTTATGTCAAAACATTTGTGTTAAACTGCTGAGTTTTGCCAAAGAGGTAAATTTTCCAGTCAAAATAATTAATTAGAAACTATTAATGATGTCTTCCAAGATTTAAGAAGTCACTGTAAGTAAGGAGAGAAACTAAAGGGAAAAACATCCCCAAACCAGGATGTGGAAGCTAAGCTATTTTGCTGATCTCCATTTAGGATTTTTTTCCTTGAATTTTCTAACTCTTCTGCCATCATTTCACCAGCTCTAAATCACTCAATTAATAGGCCCACAGGGAGGCTTCAGATTTACGAAGGGCTTAAACCTCAAACACAACTCTTGTTTTTCTTCTTAATATATTTAGTCCTTGTAATATTTTATTCTTATTACAAAAAGTAGTTTGGGTGCTGAAAATCATCATAGCACTGGTAGATACATATCTGGTTTAGTCGGCTACAGATCATCCGGTAATCATTAGGCGAGAAAATTCATTGGCAAAATACTTAAATCCCTGAGTCATAAATTATTGGAGAAAAAATTGCTCAGCTTCTTTTAAACCAAGGCTATCTATCTATCTATCTATCTATCTATATCTATCTGTCTATTTATCTATCTCCAAAAGGCAAATGTCAGAGTGGGATTTATCAGTTTAGTTGATTAAGGCTAATGAAACTCAGGTAAAACAAGCCAATATCTGCATTAAAAAAGTTAACTGTTCATGGCTACATGACCTAAAAAATATATCCCACACCCACAGCAGTTGTTCTGTAAATGAATGTTGATCATGAAGGGACCAGGGGAGGAAAAAAGATGGGGCAGAGTACATTCCTTACTACTTCTGGAAAAAAATTAAAGGTCATACTCTACTGATGGTTGGCCCCTGATGTCAACCGTCACCATGAAAAGGAGCATGTAAGACTTTGGTAGACAAAGACCTCAGAAAGAGACAGTCAGGGAACGACCAAGGGAAGACCCCCATCTCTGAGCAGGTAATGCCATCCTCTGATAAACAGGACCAAGAGTCAGCAGCAACCTACCCTGTGGTTTTGTAGACACTTTGCTAGAAAATATTCTCTTATCCTTCTGGAACCTCCCCAGATCATGATATATGCATCTAAACATTATTCACACTCAGGCAGAATCAATATAAACAATCAGGAACGTTGCATGTATCAACCCATGCTTTGAATTTCTTACCTCACGTTTCTGAAAAGCTGACTGCATGTTTCATTCTTCAACAAAAGCAAAGGCTTCAATTTGAAGTCTCCATCACTAAACTTATTCTTTAACTTATTAAATTAAATTAATTGAACTTATTTTTACAGCAAAATCTATCTGCTCAAGAAAATATGGAGCACATATTTATTTTTTATACTTATTCATATTTTACCAAATGTCCTCGGGTGCTCATATATCCTCTGCTGTTCCACCTGGCTGATTCCTTATTAATAATCCACGTTTGGGGCTCTAATTACTTGGGTATCTAAAACATTGTTGATATTCAATACAAAACATTTTTAAAAGATCAGAATAATATGCCATTTTTATTGTTAAATCCCTTGTAATTATTTCCCTTGGAGCCTTCTGGCAAATAATTATTTGGATGCTCAAATAAATTTTTAGGAATTAATAATTAAAAAAAAAACAGCTGCTATGAATTTTACCAATAGTGCCATAGAGAAATATTTTTAAGGGCATAGATAGTCTTTATGCCAAGATGTATATATTGAGAAGATCAAAGTAGAAAAACAAAAACATAGAAGGACAGTATCAGTAGTTATGAAAACTTGTATGGCTTGTCAGCACAGCCCTGCAATAGAAAAGTGACGCTTGGCAATAATCTTTGTACAAGTATATCTTCTTTGGGTGATATAATACCACATTCTTGTTATGTATTGTTTATAACTTTACTTCTTAAAGTAATTATCTGTCAGTTTATTTGTAGGACTGACCTCATAAATGGGCAGGCCCATCTCAGAAGAGCAGTTAAATGTCAGGGAAGAACTTAAACAAAGGCGGAGATCCTCTACACAGGAAATACTCAATGTTTAAAGACAGCAGTGGAGAATAATCCCTTGCATTAAAGGTTTAGAGACATTATCCTCAAGGAAAGGCCCAAAAGTGGATTAGTGATTTATCTTTTTCGTAAGCCCAACACAATACACGGCATGGAATTACAAAGGTAATGGATAACAAAAGGAATTCTCTGCCAGGGTCTGTACTCAGCATTCATTAGTTCTCCCTAATCCAGTTCTACAGGTGTCAGCAAAAGGCTCTTCCTTCACTGTTAAGGAATGTGGCCACTTTGACACATGTGATAAAGAAGAAATTCCAGGTGCCGTTGTCCTGAACAACAACTTGCTTCTGCTTGCAAGACCGATGGAGACTGTCACCTTGACTTCCTAGAGGATTATAACTGCTGAATGGACTGTTTTATGAGTATTTATCATCCTTAAAACTCTGACTACAAATGCCAAGTGATCATAGCTGCAAGACACCTGTTTTCATACCATTCCTACTAAAAGCTTCTCTGTTATATTGCTGATAAATATTGACCTTGTTTTCCAAATTGTACAGAAATGCTTGAAATCTTGTTTTCTCTCACACAAAGCAAGGAAACAAACAAACAAACAAACAGAATTAAGCTGTGACATTTAGCTGATTTGTCTAAGAGCAAGAAGTAAGATTTTTTACCTGTTTTTTTTGGGGTTCTTTTGGTAAACATTGGTTTTCAAAATAGAGTAAAAGAGGAAGAGCAATTAGAAAGGCAGCACATTTTCAATTACCTTGGAAACTCGGTTTGCAACTTCTCTGCCCACAGTGAGGCCTTGGACAAAGGTCCGAGCAGCAATGAAGGCGCGGGTGACCTGAATCTTCAGTTTTCGGGGCACATCTCCAAACGGCTTCAGCTGGTCGGTGTATTTGCTCACACATTCCAGGTAGTCCTCGCTGAAGTGATACTGAGGGTTTATCAGCTGAAACATCCGCTCCAGCAGACGAGCCCAGAAGTCATTGAGCATCTCCTCCAGATTCACATTGCCCCCTGTGTAGTATCTTTTAAGCTCCGTGAAGAGGTCCTGGAACACTTCTGAGTTCTGCATGTACAGCATTCCATAGGTCCGTACAAACATATCATTTAGTGACTTTTCTGCATTCTCCAGGAGCTCTCGAAAAAATTCTGCAGATAAAACAAGAAAGCAGACAAACATTAATAAGATCTAGAAAGCTCAAGACATCTACTTATCTTAAACATAACTGCTTTTAATATGGCATTTCATAGAAAAGTGATACCCTGTGATTAATAGACCAACAAAAACAACATTTTAAATGAGATTTGACTTACGTCTATGATCTTCTATGAATCAGAGAAAACAGAAGACCCTATGATTTCCATTTGAAAGAACATCCATTAGCATTAGGAGTTTACCATTTAAAAATCCTCCAAAAAAGCTCAATTTTTAAAAAATGTATGTTTGATTTTTTAAAAATCGTATGGTTTGATATAAACTCAAATCAAAGTATGTTGCAAATATAATGTGTGAAGTATAGTCACTAACACAGTAACAAATGCATACTGATAAAAACATTTGCCTCAGCCTATTTACTGATTTGTCCCAACACTAAATTCAATTACATTGCTTTTAGTTGGAATAGTTCATAAATGGGATGCTCAAATTAATGTAACATTTTGGACTCTTTCTAGTTTCTATATATAGTAATCAATTAGCAGTGTTCAGAGACTCATAATTCAATTAAATTCACTGAATACTAATGCTATAACGAACATAATTTAGGCGGCCATAATGAGTCAGAAAGCCATAAAGTAGCTCAGATTATCATTAGAAATATAAACTACCATTTTATAGAACTTGAATAAAATACTGCTAGTTAGGCTTTCTGGTTAAGAGGTTCTAAATGAAAAAGTGTATGGTATACAAATGAACTTTTCCATCCTGCAACAGCAATTGAGTGTTACTCTGATTGCTTATAGGATGCAAAAAATAAGACAGAAATTAAAGCGCTTGGGTACCATTAGCCACATTGGCCTTCACATTAGGCTCCCTCAAGAGATACCTTGTGTTTGTAGGGCACCTATCCATTTGCACAGATGAGCCTGGGAAGAGAAAGCTCAAGTTGTATTTGGAGAATGTAAATTGGTTGAGGAAAAAGCTAAGGAAAGATAATACTTCTGAGTTTATCAATACAAGTTCCCAGCAACAGAGTGACTCTGTTTTATCTCTTCATAGTTCTCTTTCATTCCCTGAACCTATGTCTCTTCATCCTGGACACTACAAGGACTCCAAGTAGGAATTAAAAAAAAAAACTTTTCTCCTTTCTGGAGCCCTGGGTTTTTTTTTGTTGTTGTTGTTTTACCCTAATACACAGAAGGGATAAATCCCTCTCCATAGACTCCATGGAAGCTATTTTGTGCTTTCTCAGAAGTTGGCAGAAGAAGCACTTGGTTTAGCTACTTCACTTCAGATTAAAATACAATTGAACCATTGTCTTGACAATTAAATGGTGTCTATAATAATAACTATTTTATATTTGCTTTCAAATAAGACCAAAGCAACAAGCTTAAAAAGGACTCTGTTCACTTGTTTACCCTCTTACTACAAAAGAATACATTTTTTTTCCTTTTTTGTTTTCTTTTTATTGTAACAGTTGATTATACATATCAGTGGGGTACAGAGTTGAACATCAGTACCCACGTGCAGTATGTGATGCTCACATCGGAATAGTTATTATATTCAGTAGTACACACTATCATTGCTATTCGTGGCCCTTTACCCATTCCTCCCTCCCCCACCCCCCTTCCCACTTCTTGTAAGCACAGCGGTCCTTTTGAAAGTTCAGTGTATTATTGGGAATGTTGTATCTTTCTTTCTTTCTTTTATTTATATGTTTATGATTTTAGCTCCCACTTATGAGTGAAAACACATGGTATTTCTCTTTCCATGCCTGGCTTATTTCACTTAATATGATTTTCTCTAAGTTCATCCACACTGCTGCGAATGACGGTATTTCATGTATTTTTATGTCAGGGTAGTATTCCATTGTGTAGATATACCACATTTTCCTCATCCAGTCATCTGATGATGAACATTAAGGTAGGTTCTAACTCTTGGCTAATGTAAACAGAGCTGCGATAAACATGGGACTGCAGGTGTCTCTTCGACATGAAGCTCTCCATTCCTTTGCGTATACACCCAGCAGTGGAATTGCTGGATCATAGGGCAGTTCTATCTGAAGTTGTTTAAGGAATCTCCATACCGTTTTCCATATGGCTGCACCAATTTTACAGTGCCACCAACAGTGTAGGAGGGGTCCCCTTTCTCTGCATCCCTGCCAGCATTTGTTGTTTTCCGTCTTTTTGATGATACCCAGTCCAACTGGGGTGAGATGGTATCTTAATGAGGTTTTGGCTTGCATTTTCCTGATGCTGAGTGATGTTGAGAATTTTTTCATTTGTCTGTTGGCCCTTTTGTTTTTTCTTCAATATAGAAATTTCTGCTGCTACAGTGGCAGCAAAAACTTTAGGATTATCTAAAAGACATTACTTATAAACCCTGTGTAATTTTGTTCAAGTCACTAAATATTTCTTATTTGTATTTTTCCCAAAAGTAAAATCAGGTTAAATATTATTAAACCTCTCTAATCTTCAAAGATTCAGTAAAGAAAATGAGTGTTGAAGCAGATAGGGAAAAATTTTCAAAATTGTCAAAGATCAATTTATCAAAATATTTATGTGTACTATATGTTGATGTTATTTATGATTTTACGAAATCAAGAGCATTTCAAAATTTTTTCAGAAATATTTGTTACCTAGTTTGTTCTAAAATAGAAACCATATTCAATTAATATTAATACCAAAGTATAAAAGTATCATAAGTAGAACTTTTCAATCTTGAAACCAGGAATGATAATAGCTTGGCCTTGCTGATACAGAAAGGCAGAAAGTGTTGCAGATCCTGAAAAAACATAAGAATGGAAAATCACTGAATTGAAAAATAGTAATATAATGAGACTGGAAAGTGGATTCTAATCATGAGCTCCGAACAACCTATTAATTTATCTTCTTTTTGAGGTCAATTGTTTTGTTGGACAAAGGAATTAAAGCTTAATTTATTGAATACAGAGTACTGCCTTCAGCAATGAATAGTCAGTAATCAATAGTGTGGTCTGGGTTTGGAAGGAGCTAAAAAAAAAGAAAAGAGAGAGAGAGAAAAAAAAAATCTTCTGGTCTTCTTTGCTCTCCAAAGACTTGAGGTATAAGTGTTTGTCTCTAGGGATACATATTTTTATTTTTTTCTTATACCGAGGATTATATTCTTTAGACTTACCCCTTTCTGACATGGGGACTCTGAAGTATTATTGGGCTTATGCCCACTTTGAAGGTGAATGGTTAAAATCAGGTTTCCCACTCACTGTGTCTTGCAGTTTGTTTTCTTATGTCTAAATTAGTAATCATGATTGAATATAGAAATCAAGTTATAATAGTTCAATAAATATGGCTCAAGAAACATAACATTAGATTCCAAGCATACCTTTTGTCTAAGGGTGTGCCATTGTCTCAGAAGTTTGCTATTAGCTTAACTAGTCCTCAAAAGTCATTATTATTCCTTGTTCAAAATCATTATTTGGTTTACTGATCTCACAGACAAAGTTAATATTCAGTATTGAAAGAAGCTAATGTATCAGCCAATTATGACAAATGTTGTTACCTTAAGGTACATTGATCTTAGATCTGATGAAAAATGGAGATCCAAGGTACTGAGGCAAAACTAATGTCCTCCAAAATAAGTATACTCGTTCCATTTTCAGCATGCCTGTAGACTTCCACCTTTTGAAGGTTGACTCTCAACAAAGTACATTATGCTTGAATGAAAATTGTTTCTCAGCAAACCAAATAAGATGGAAATTTGGAAGACAGTTATTGGAACTATTTTGCTGATGAAGTATTATGTCCAAACAGCATCAGAGAGGACAAAATTCATGAGCAATATAAGAAAAAGCAGTCTCAATCTAACCATTTGTTTAATTGGAGAAGGCAAAGCTCACATTGAATAAAACCTTCAGTCAACAAAACTCTCTTCTGCAAGAAACAGTTTGGCAGAAAGAAATGCTATTTGATTATTTTTTTCTTCCCCAATCACAAAATATACATCAAAGGTGGTTGCTTAGGGCTCAGTTATGCTTCATAGGTGCACAAAAAAACTTTTCCAGCCAGCATTAGCCTCTGGGAAGATTTTATTCATCTAGAGGGGAGATCTCAATGCAAACATCTGTTTGCTGTGGGGCAGGCTGCCTCTAGTGTGAGAACAATGTTGTAGATAAAAACCACCACTGTTCCAAAAGCAAAAAGAAGGCCTGTGCAATGCTGTCTGATCTCTTGGAGATGCCTCTTAAAGGGCAAAAATCAACTCCTAGGAGCTAAGAGGTGCCCTAAGGATATCTGAGAAAGGCTCCCAGTGAAGTCTCCAGATGAATGGCTTGAAATGAGAAGCCCACAGCTCCAAAAGAAAGGGCAAGAAAGAGAAGAAAGTCAGACCAGAAGCTCTCTAGGAATTTTCAGTCTACATGAAACAGCAAAATCTTTTCTTGTTCAAGCCAGACATGTTGTCTCTTTAACACCGCTGTGAATAAACATATTCTGTGGTAAACTGGGCATGGAGATTGGATCCAGCACTGTCTTATTCTACCCTCATGCTCTCCAAAACACTTCTCATTGAAAGCTGGTTTAAAATGAATGTTTCGGTATGGTGGTGTAAATCTATGTAATTACAGGACCCTATGAGTGAAAATCTTTGTTTATTAGTCATTGGAGATTATAGCTATACCTAATTACACTTAGCGTTTGTCCTACCATGTGTGACAGGTGTGCTAAATTTACTTCCTTAAACTTAGAAGCACACGCATGAGTGTGTAAGTGTGTATGTTTGTGTACTTCTCTCCTAATCTCTTTCTTTAAACTCTTCCCCAGCCAAAGCATAATAAATTAGTTCAGCCGGCCCAGCTGTACTTAGGCTAAAGAATGCCCCAGAGGAGGAGTTGGCGTTGAGGATAAAATTGATCTGAGAGCTGATATCCTATAAGGGTTGTGACTCACAGACACACAATAAAGTTACCACCCTGCCCTCTAATCCCCCGATGCCTTTTTCAAGGTTAAGTGAGTAG